CCTTTCATAAATGGCAACAAATAAATAATCTTGAGCCGCTTAATAAAAACAAATGTATTGCACAACATTTACAAATAGACCTGTATATACATTTAAAGCAAAGAAACAGTTTTCTGCTCCAGTTTTCAAATCAGATGTCATATAGAGCAGAGGATTAAAAAGAGATTAAAGCCAGACTACAGCCTTGACATTATCCTTTTATTTGGCTTTAATGGATACAGCGATTCATTTTTTTATACTAGGCACTGTGCTCTCCACATGACCTTAATACACAATATATGTTTCTATAGTTCCAAGTAGAGATCAAATTCATCTGTATGTAGTATAGCATTCTCCAGTACATAACTAAAATTGCCGTCCTGTGAGAGAACTTACAAGGTTTAAGATCTCACAGCTATAAAATGTTAAAGCAAAATGTGTTAAGATGTCACGTTCACATAGAACAACTATGATAGATATAAGGTGACTCTCACATTGCCCAGGTGCAGGGCTAGCAAAGCCAATAATCTCCCTAAGAAAAAAAGCATTTGCAATTACAGCTTTTGGGAAAATGTTCATTTGAATGGTTTTCCAACTAGAAATGCCCTTTCTGCAAAACTGAAATTTTCCACACCCAAAAAATTAAATTTTACTGAAAAAAAAATCCGTGTTCTGTCAAGAAAAATCCAAATGATGGCTCCCTGACCATCAAGAAGAGTCCACTTTCTCGTAGTGTAATTAACAGAAGCTTTTCTAGAAAGCTGCATCCCGTCCTCCCCTCTTCTCCCTCCATCACACACATACCAGCTTTGGGAGCCGGTGACGCAAAAAAGCCCTGTCTGACTCTTGGGACTGGAGTGCTGGTGGTGGTGAGGTAACTTGCTTTTTAAAATATGTTTTTGATAGTCTTCACCATGGCGCATTCAAACTAATACCAGATTTTGAAACACATAAAGCTAATCATCTGTGAAGTGTTAAGATTTCTGTACAATGGTTAGCATTTGGGATTGTTGCCTGCAATGTACATTAAATGTAATTTCTTAGCAAGAGATGTGTATTAGTGTTCACGTCAGGGGTTTACATTTCTATCTTTGAATGTTCTGAAACAGAGTCAGTGTTCTTACTCTGAGATTTTACCATCTGACAGGTGTCCAAATGGACATGAGGCTGTTATACAAATGTTGCATAACGTAAGCTAGTTGCTTTGGAACCGACTTCTGGACACATCACTTACACTAGAGATGGAAAACATATGGGGAAGCATGAGTACATTGCCTAAGTCCATCCATTGTGTAGCTCTGTAACCTTCAGTGGAATTTGGCTCAGTGAGTAGATGGCATGCCGGAGTATTGAGTGAGTAGGTGCTTTATTTTCAGGGACACTGTTGACTTTATTATCATTATTTTATTACTTCCAGTCAAATTTCCATTAATGTTCTGCAGATACATGATGATAATCATAAGCCAAATGACTACGTATTTGTAAACTCTGTATCCATGTCAACAAGAGCTTTATCTGTGCCAATTCTTAGTACTATTTTCAAATTAGCAGACTTACCCGGTGCTCCCCGGGTCTTTCAAAGGGGGGAGGGGATGGCCGGACACTAGGTAGAGGGCCCATCTCAGGGATGGGGCAGAAGCCTTGGGTTTGGGGTAGGGGGAGTCAGTTTGGGGTTGGGGTGGGGGACCCTTTGCACAGGTGTAAATAGCTCCACAGTTTGAGGCAAAGGAGGTTTTGTCCTATTTGCGTGTGTGGACGGGGAAAAAGGAGTTTTTTCAGAAGAGGAGGAAAAAGGAAAAAACACAGGTGCCCTGGTGGCCACTCCGTCCATAGTAATCACTGCTTAAATGTAAGATAGCGTCCATTCAGTGTGGACGGTATCTTTCAAAAAAGCAGATCGCTTTTTCGATGCGCTTTTGTGTGTGGATGCTCTCTTTCGGAAGAAGTTTTTTTGGAAAATCTCTTCCAAAAAAAAAAAAAGGTTCTTCTGAAAGAAGCCTGCAGTCTAGACATAACCTAGGAATTATGTGCATTTTTCATTGGGCAGAATATCATCCTGCTGTTGGGAATTTTAATAATAATTGCTTCATGGATTTTTAAACATCTGTATAGAGGAAGACCACTTTGAGTAACTTCAGTTATTAAATCAAGATGGGATTTTTTTTCAAAAGATACATTCTAGTTCAAAAGGAATTATTTTGGGGAGGATGTTATGTCCTGTTTTATATTGGAGGTCAGATTAGATGTTCACAATGGTCCCTTTTGGCCTTGGAAACCACAAACCTGAGTTAAGATGCTGCTGCTTACTCCTCATCTGTGTGTTTTTTCCTTTACCCTGCACATTTTGTTATTGAGCTCTGTGCATCAATTAGCTGTCAACTGACCATGACAATACTTCTTCGAAAGATGTCACTGTGGGTGCTCCCAGGGCCTTTGATTGGAGATTTTGACACCACTACCTACACAGGCTGCGCGCATGCACTGCCTGCCTCACAAGCTGTCATTGGTTGAATAGTGCGTACGTGGCACAGATCCCCTCAGTTCCTTCTCTGCCGTCCCCAGCTAGAGAGGGAGTGCAGCAGTCCCACTATCCTTCCTCTCGCCACATGGTTTACAGGCAGTCCCCGGGTTACGTACAAGATAGGAACTGTAGGTTTGTTCTTAAGTTGAATTTGTATGTAAGTCGGAACTGGTACATATTGTAGGGGAAACTCTAGCCAAACATTTCTCCAGAGCTCAGTTTTATTCTCCCACACCTCACTTCCCTCAGTCCTTTATTCTCAAGCTGAGGTGTCTGCTGAGAAAAGCCGCTCCGCGTCTCCCTGGTCTGCTGGGGGGAAGCAGCTAGTGCGGGGTTGCCTCACCCCGTTTGTAAGTAGGGATCCGATGTAAGTCGGATCCATGTAACCCAGGGACTGCCTGTATATGCATTTTTACTTGTTACTTCTTTCTTTTCTTAACCTGGATTTGTTTTTCTTCAATTATTTAAAAACCAAAAAAATCCAAACCTCTGTTGATCTCAGCTCACCGCTATGCCTGGCTCCCCAGGATAAAAGTGGTGGTCCTCGTGTTGAGAAGCCATCCCCATTTCAGCTGGCCATACACACAACGCATACACCGTTTGGGGGAGTCCCATGTACTTCAAAAATGTGTGCACTGCAATAAACTTAAAGCAAGGACCCACAAAGGCAGTGAGCTGAGGTTAAAGCTTCTGCTCCTCAAGGACTCCCTCAGACCGGCATCTGACCCCCTTCTTGGACTCTGATTTATCTCTAGGTCTAATACCGCAGTATGGATGGCCTCTGCCCTGGCTTTGTTATATTAGGCCCATGAAATTAAATTAACCAGGATATAATTACTTTAGACTTTTGCAATGGATTAAAGAACAATTTGAATAGTTTTCCAAAGGTGCCTTTCTTCCTGTTATCTTCCTCCCACCGTTGTTCATACACAATGTATGCATTGAAGCTCCTTAATCAAATAAAAGAGACAGATTTGAATTTTTTTCTTATGTTTAGTGATTTCTAAATGATTCTTTGTCATGTAGGAAAAATATTTTAATATGTCCTTAAGTTCCTTCTGAAGTCATTTTTCAAGTGAAGAAAAATACCACTGGACAGAATGTATGTCTTTCCTGTTGATGAAAATGTTAGACAGATGAGGAAATTAAACTTATTTATTTTATGCTATGTCTAACAAGTTTCAGCAGTACTTCAGTTATGATGCTGCCAAATATCTTTGCATTCCCTCACAAACCTTGGCAGTAACATAGTATGTGTATTAAGCATGAGATGCTGAGGCAAACTATGGAAGTTTTGTTCCATATTCTTAATAGTTGATGTTATGGTGACTCATTAACTTTACAGTCATCATTTTTGAAGATGGTGGATGTGGTTGGGGGTGAGTCAGGCAAATACTACTGGTCCATGTTATTAATTTTAAAGTCCCTCCTACATTCCTCCCTAAATACTAGATTTTAGACTACAGAAGGTAATGCCTCAGTTTTCCTATTTGTAAAAGTGTGCAATAAAAATATTGAGCTTTACATTAAAACTCTTGAATTCTTGTATGAAAAAATGTAAGCCTAAATCTTGATTTACTGCACTTTATCTTTCTTAGAAATATGTAGGACCAGATTCTCTGCTGCTCTCAGCATTTTCTTGTGCAGGAGAGAGGGATTGCAAAGAGTTGTTTATGCCTCCTTAATTCCAGGGATCAGTAGTGCTCTGGGCTGTGTTAGAGAGCACCACAGAGGATGAATACTGTGGCAAGCAAAGGGGTTGGTCCAAAAGAGGAGAATAGTTACATACATAAAGGTCACGTCTACACTAAGAGAGAAAATTGACCTAAGATTCACAACCCCAACTACGTGAATAGCCTAGCTGAAGATTATGTATCTTAGGTCAATTTTTTTGCGGTGTTCCACTGCGAGAGGTTGACAGGAGAAACTCTCCTGTTGACATTCCCTTATTCCTTGTGACCCATTCGAGTACCAGAGTTGATGGAGGTGTGATCAGCAGTCAATTTAGCAGGTCTTGTCTAGACCCTCTAAATTGATCTCTAGGAGCTTGATCTCCACAGTGATGATCTCCCGGTAAGTGTAGACAAGCCCAAACACTCTTGCTACACTCACTCCCACTCCCAACACACCTCCCTCTGCTGGTAGCTGCAAGGTGAGGAGCGTGTTTACATAGAAACTGGCTAAAATGATTCTGCCCCAGCTGGGAAGATAGTGGCTTTCCTAGCATCTTGTGCTATTTTGGTAACTCCAAGGGTCTGGAAAGAACAAGAAAATTGGTCTTTTATATAGAAAATATTTCAGGTATTTTGCAAGAATTTTCATACTACTTTGTCTAGAAACCCTCAACTGAAACTTTCTCATATCCCAAATTCATTCATTTATTCTCTCTTTCTTTGTGTCTGTCTGTCTCTGAAAGAGGGGAAAACATTCTTTTAAGAGAACATTCTTTTGAATGGGTTTCCTCATTGTGAAGAAAATTTCTTTCATTCCTTTTGAACAGATTTTATACAGTTCGCTACAGGGAAAAGGATAAAAACAAGAAATGGGGTTTTCAGCTTTGTCCAACTACAGAGACAGTGGTGGATAATCTGAAGCCCAACACACTATATGAATTTGGAGTGAAAGACAACACAGAAGATGGGATTTGGAGCAAGATTTTCAATCACAAAACCATTCTGTCTAGTAAGTACTTAGCAGTATTTCCTTGTATTACAAATACTTGATTTGTCAACAAACTTTCTTTTATTCTTTTAAAGTAATCTGTTACAGATCAGTTTCTTGGCATGTTGGGTAGTCAGTCATGTGAATAAATCTATAGCAATTTTTCTTAGGAATCTGTAAAACTTGAAATACTACTTAAAAAGCTGTTGTCTGCCTAATTGAAACATTTTCAATTCAAGCTCTCAACTACAGAACAAGTTGCAAGTCAGTATAATTGGAACCGTGATGAAACTGGTGCACTTTTAAGTATTGTCCATGCATGGCTGCACTGTTGATTGGAGCCAATCTTCCTCCAGTTGCCATTAATGGAAATTTCACTGTTTATTTCAGCATGAGCAAGAACAGGCTCCTAGTCTGAATATTTTCACACCTCTTTATACTTACTGATTTCTAATTGGTTGGGCAGGGACTGTGGTTTTGTTCTGTGTTTGTACAGTACCTAATACAACCAGGTCCTGGTCTGTGACTGGCACTCTTAGGCACTATCACATTACAAATTGTAGTAGTAATAGTAATAATAAAGTTGAATTCTAATTCACAAGTAGTTCTCCCTTTACTGAAGCTTCCTTTCAGTGCTCTGGTGAAAACTTACTGCAATTTGACCAAGTCAAGAGACATTGCAAAGTGCATTTACATATATGACCTAATGTGCTTTAGACAGATTCTCACAGAGAGAACAAATTTTCTGATGAAAAAACAGCAAGTCAGTAAATGGAGGCAGCAGTTCAATATTTATTTTGATTCCCTTTCTTTAATGTGTGGCAACAAGACTTGGTGCACACCATGTAAATCCTGAACACAGAGGAGATTTTTTTTTATAGTTCTTCATGGCTTTTATAGCTTTTTAATGGCTCTCATTACTGTAATGTTTAACCTTTACAAAAATTAACTAATTTATCTGTGCCATACCACTGTAAAGTAGAGAGATAGTGTTATGGCTGTTTTATAATGAACAGCTGTAAATAGTAATGATTCTCTGTTGACCTAGGCAGAAGTTGAGCTGCCAACCTAGGACTTTTATTCCAAATCTTATTTTACTGAACTATGCAAATTCCCAACAAAAAACAAATCTGTGAAAAGTTGATGGTCCTGTAAGTTTCAAAATACATTTTTATTTTTAATGAAATAAATCTTAGTTGATGAGTAATTGCACAGCTGATTATATGAACATCTGTGGCACAATAGTTTTCATTTTATACTGAAAAAGAAAGTAAGTCAAAATCTGCACTCAAATGTTTTATGCAAAAATTTGTTTAAATAAAAACCACAGGTTTGCTTTGCAAACTTTTACAGCCTCCTTTAATTCACTTTTCACAAACATTATATAAGGATGGGCAAGCATAAAAACATCTTGGCACGCCCATGGCTTTCCATGTCCAGCAGACACCCAAGGATACCATTGCAGAGATCCTATGAGACATGGCCAGGATCGACTCCTCCCTACTGGTGCTATGGCAGAAGATCCCCTATATTTTGTTTGTCCTAATGAGGTCTGCCATGGTGAAAGTAGCTCCCATCAAGGTGGACAATGCCATCAGTCAGTTAGTGAAAAAGTGGATGTTTCTTCCCCAGGAGGCAAGCAGTGTCCCTCCAATGGTTGATCTGTGCAATACTGCCATGATTAGTCATGCCCTATGCCTTCTGATGTGCTCTGACAATATGAATGGTAAGCAGGATGCCATCAATCCGCAAATTGCTAGGACCCCTTCCAACCAAGGATGTCGCCACCTACCTAGGTGCCTCCCTGGAAGGTGAATTTTGCAGTGACAGGAGACTTTGCTTCACCCTGGACTCATGCCCGCAACATGATGCAACTAGAGAAGCATATCAGCTGCTGCTGCACGTAGTGTAAGGAAAACCAGGAGCTTGGAGTCCTAGTGCCACAGGTGAAGAACACAGAGTCCACCATCATCATTCCAGAAGCTGGAGCCAGGCTGGAGAGGACCCTGAAGCATGCCACTTGCTGCCAGTATGTGGAAAACCTGGAACAGAAGCCCAAAGAGGGAAAGGCATTTGAGGTGATGTGCAAGTACCAGCAACTACTTCCTCCCCGGGAGCAGCTTCATTCAGTTTGCTGACTGGCCATTCATCTACTGGGCCGGTTGAACTGCATCCCTCTGAACAGAGCCCTCTGAAACGAGAATCAGGACAAGTAACGCAGGGAATGTAGCTATGTCAACGAGACATTACCCTACATCATGTGTAGCTGGTAGCCCCACTCAATAGCCTGGCAGCTGTGATACAATGCCATCCAAAATTGACTGGTCAGAGCCATCCTGCCGTCTCTGGGGAAGGTTGCCATGAACTCCACCATCCCTGGAATAGATAGCCAATTTCAAGTGGAGGTTGTCACCTCCAAAGAGGACGGCAAGATGATCATCATGGTCCCAGTGCCCTTTGAGGACAGGACCTCAGTCTTCCATGGGGCCAATCTCAAAAGCTGGAGAAATACACCACTCTGGCCTACATCTTGAGAACTAGTGGCTATGCAGTTTAAACACATGCCCTGAGTATCAGGGCCCTGGGCACATCGGACCCCAATAACAAGTGAATGATAAGAGAATGTATAATCAGCAAACACTACACTCTGCTGATGTGGCAACTTGTGGTGTCAGATGCCATTGGGTGGTCAAGACCATTTATCTGGAACATGTTGACAATACCAGGAGGGATGATCTGGAGTGCGAACGAGAAGCTCGATTGGGAAAGTAACTCATATACTTTCCTAATGGATTGTGTTTTCTAAAGGACAATCTGCCCTAAATTCTCAGCCACTGAGGGATAATCTTTACTTATTCACTCATTGATATAATTGCTTTCCAAAACCAACTCTGTGTAACTTTTAATGAATAATATACTTGAATTATTGTTACATTTATTCACCTAAATTTGGGTTATTGCTGATTATGTATTTTATGACTTTTGAAACAAACTCTGCACTTCTGGATAACCCAAGCACTATACCCAGATGTACAGACGAATCTTAAGAGAGACAATGGTACCAAGAGCCTGTGACAGTAAGACTGTGGGTACCACAAGAGAAGCAGGATTGATGAGTCTCCTACCAAAATGTCTTGGTCACCAATGTAAAAGAATGTTCCAGAAACCTTAGGTTCCAGTGGGAAGACTGTTGAGGTTCTCAGTGATTATTATGAGATTGTCCAAGACTCCTAAAAGATATCCTAAAAATAACTCTTCCACTAAGCTGGATTTAGTACTGAAGAATTCATCAGCATTTGGTGGTCATATCCATTTTAGAAGACATTCCATGTCAAAGAATTCTGCACCATCAGACTCTTCTGTGGCTTCATAAAATATACTAGTATCCTGTATCACTACATTGGTACCGCCTGAGTCAGAGTATGGGCTTTTGAACTGTTTGGTTCTTACAACACTGGATAGATAGATTCTAGATAGATTTCTATTTTGTTACCAACAACAGCCTTTGTAGAATTTTGTTCTGCTCTCACTCATGTACCATGAATACTGCAAAAGTTCAATTATTCAAGGGATCTTTTTGTGTTAGATGAACTGGAGTCTCCATTACTTATCAGTACCATACTGTTATCCACACTGAGATCTTTTGGGTCCCTGACTCCACATTTTTCATTTAGACTTCCTGCTCCACTGACATAGACCATCAAGGGTGAACAGTTATAACCTCCTTTGGAATATGTTGAGGATGATTCTTCTGACACTCAAAACTCAGTTCAGGGATCTCCTGTTTACTCAGCCGCTACTTTCTAACCGCAATAAAGGTTGTTGGGAGCAGATGATCTCAACCCGTTTACTTGGTGTTACCAACGATGAATGTCTCCTAAGTCTTATAGGCCCCCACAGTGGCCTTATTTGGATCGCTGAGCCCTATATCACCAACAACTCTCAAGGATACTAAGCCTCTCTTGGAGGGAGCATCCATTCTTCTCATCCTTCACTACCACCTGAAAAAATGTGATCCATTAGAGGAAGTCTTTGAGGACCAGGAAGCAAGAGCTGACAGGTAACTCCTCACACACGCACACATCTCTTCCTCTTCACCAAATGAGGTTGAAAGGCCTCCACCTCCTTCAATGCCAGATGATTTTAGTCAGTTTCAGGAGCTGATGAAACACATCACTGATTCTCTTCAGATTAGTTTGGAAGAGGTGTGGGATATTCATCATAAGCTCCTGGATGTTTTATAAACTTTGCCTTCTGCATATGTGGCCCTTACTGTGAATGAGGTTTTACTACAGATTTCTAAGACTATCTGGCAGACTGTAGATGTAACATCCCTACTTGAAGCATGCCAACAAAAATAATTTGCTCCAGCCTATACGTTTTTATTTTCACACCTGACACAGAAATCCTTTGTCATGGAAGTGGTTAAAGAGCACAGTAGAAAACACTGTAAGAAGTCTTTCCCTTACAACAAGGACAAAAAGCAACTGATCTCTTTGGACACAAGAGTTATTCTTCAGCAATATTGCGATTCAGAATCACTAACCACCAAGTGCCGACCTCATAATATATATGTATGAATTACAATAAACTCAACAGCTATGCGAAGGAATGATCAGAGTTGCATCATAAGCAATTTAAGGATATCATAAATAAGGTAGTTTCTTAGTGAAAACATCATTGCCGGACTCTTGGAATGCAGCTGATACTGCAACCTAGTCCATTTGCCCTACAATCATGATGCAATGAGCATCTTGGCTCCAGTTGTCTGACTTCCCTAGAGAAGTGTTGAGTATTATCAGGGACCATCTTTTGATGGTGTCAATGTGCTCTCTAAGTCTACTGACTAGTCATGTCACTCTTTGAAGGATTTGAGGCCCACACTTAGATTTATATACCTGCAACTAAAAGAAAATCTAGTGGAACTCAGATCCCTCAGAGATCTTAACTGATTCATTTCTCTGTTTTCATGGGATCTACTGAAACAACCACACAAGAGTCCTAGGTAGAAGAAGCAGCAG